TCTGATCCATGTCTTGCGAACAATCCGTCCTGAACACAGCGGGGAGCCATTTTGCAACCCGCCAATCAGCTGTTTTGAATCGTTGTTAAGCAAAAAATCGGTTCCCGAAGCAGGGAACCAATCGTCATAAAGCGAAAAACCCTTGAATCATTTTGCGATCGCTATAGCGATTGTAAACTCATTGTGCTGCGGATTTGTTGTCAAGCGGGGTAATCATCTAGTGGGGCACCACTGTATGTCAGTCCACTGTATTCAGCGTTTATGTGGCATTATGACCCTTGACAAATTGCAGCCTCAGCTTCTTAGCTGCTAGTGCAAATTGTGCTACAGAATATGTAATGTGCAACTATGTACAGTATCAGCAAGCAATCCTACTACTGTTTCAGTAGTGGTACAGTTTAAATAAATCTGAATGATGGGTAACAGAAATCTTTCTCTAGAATTCTTATAGAGAGAACAGTAGATAATGAGTTAGAGCCTCAATATGGATCCCCCCCCCACGTAGTACCATGAAATGCCACAGTTCATGCCTCCTCTATCAGGAAATGCAAAATGTAACCTGAAGGGCACAATCCAGATCCTCTCTCCTTTAGTTTGGTCTGTGAATCAAAATAAGATGCCCAGGCATCACCTATATGTAACAAACACTGACTTCTGCAAGATACTCTTTTTCTCCTCTGGAGATATTAATCTTACAAAATTAATGTGCATATAAAGGACAAAATAAATATGGATACCTCAGAGCATGAGGTATCTTGTTGTGGAGCCAGAGATTAGGGGTTCAGTTCTTGCCTCCTGCAAACAGAAGTTGCCTGTGTAGCTGTGGACAAGCTGCACAGCCCCAGGGCACCCACAAGGGAAAGTAAACTACTTCTGAGTACTTTCTGTTGAGAAAATCATGGAAAGGATCAGCGTAAATTGGAATCAGCTTAATTGCACACATTATTATATGGAAGCAACAGGAAAACATCAACTTTTTTAAAAAATTGTGTTTGGAAGCTGAAAAATAAGAGAATAGAACATTGTTAGATAATCTTTTTTATTTTAAACATTTGGAATAAATGGAAAAATGAATTAATAAAATATCCCCCTAATTCAATTTACACTAATCCCAAATTTTCAGATAAGATAGAAAGATGTCAAATGGAAAGAAAAGGTAATTTACGGAACAGGAGATCTTTATGAGAATGGAACTTTTCTTACTTCAGTAGAATTAAAAGAAAAATTGTGGGGAGCAGAAATGTATTGCCTTCTACATCAACTCTATTACCATATTACAAATCCCAACGTAACACAAAGTTCAACAAGGACTATGACAAATTCTGAATGCATTTTAATAGAGCATCTGACTAACACAAAATGATTAATTTCTAAAATATATTCCCATTTAATTGAAATATATACAAGTCATGTCATATGGATTGAAAATGTTAAGGGAAGATGATATTGGGATAAAAATAAAACATATGGAACAAACTATGGGTGACTCCATCAAGGAAGACTATAATCAACTATCCTTAGGCAAAATTCTGCAAAAATTACTACAATGATATATTTCATCAGTACACCTTGTTAGAAGTAATACAAGCAGTACAAAGTGTCAGAGAAAAAGCAATGAGGAAGGTGTATACATTCACATATTATGGTCACATCCTTTAATGTCATCATTATGGGATTTTTTTTATTTTTTATTTTTACAAAAATGGCAAATAGCACACATCAAACTATACATGCTACATCAGCACTGGCATTATTAACAATCTGAGAGGAACAAAATGAAAAAATGATCAGTGGTATTTGTTGATGACAGCCCGCAGGGTAATAGCAAAAGGCGGGAAAACCATTGACCTCTTTTGCCATGGCAGAAAATCTGACAGATCAATTTAGAGAAGTTAAAGGTAAAACCCAAAATACCAGAATTCTATAAAACATGGCATGGCTTTATTTTACATATAGATCAAAAAGCTACTCGGCATATATTGAAGCCTTTCCTCAGATTATGGAAAAAGAATTCAAGGCAAATGATAACAAACTATGATAAAGAAAATCTACAAGTTATCAATGAAGCCCTCTTATATATATAATCACAAAATAAATTGGAAAAAAAGTCTTAAATATTGAGCCGTCAATAATTAAGACTGCGGTTTATGTATTTGTCTGGCGCTCTGGCGTTTGTCTTTTTTTTAAAGGGTGTGCCCATGTTGTGTTTCTTTGTTTTGGATCTAGTTTTTGCATTCGAAAAATTTCACGGAACGATTTGTTTAAAAACAAAGCAAAATGTTAAGACACAGAGCCACCAAATTCTCATTCCCCTTTCAAAACAGAAACGGGAAGCTGGGGTGAACACGGAGAAACTAGTTTTGCATGAAAGGCGGCAGTGGGACACATCGATGGATCCTAAGATCACAGTTTTTGCCCCTGGATCCTTCAGGAGCTGCATGGACCACAAAAAGAGGCAAAAACGGACTGGATATTCATTTCTAGTATTTTAAAAACACATTTTGGGGTAATAAACCCTGCAGTGGGACCATGTGAATTATTTAAAATGTGAAACAAAATTCATTCCCCTCCTATGGGGAGAAGCATGCAGTAAATGAGCTTATGACCCACAAAAGCTGACGACCCACTTTCTTCTGTCACATGGGGGTGGGTGGGAATCCTTTCCAAAGCACACAGGAGTAACTATGGGTGAAAAACATGCCTGATTACTCAATCATTTTAGCGGGAAGGCCCACAACACTTTTTTAAAAACAACATTCCTTGTGTCTCAATTTTAGTTGGTATTTTGTCTCCTCATATTTCATTCCAGTCCACAAAAACCCAGTTCCTCTGCCTGGGATTGGCAGCAAAAACTTCCTCCTCTTGTCCACCACCACCCCTTTTTCCTGAAAAATACATCTGAAAAAGTGGGTTAAATCAAAATAAGACCAAGTAGTAACCGAGCATTGTTAATGGTTTAATTTTTAAGGTCAGGGTAAGGTAAAGGTTCCCCTTGACAATTTTTGTCCAGTCGTGTTTGACTCTAGGGGCCGGTGCTCATCCCCATTTCCAAGCCATAGAGCCAGCGTTTTGTCCGAAGACAAACTTCCGTGGTCACATGCCCAGTGTGACTTAGACACAGAACGCTGTTACCTTCCCACCAAGGTGGTCCCTATTTATCTACTTGCGTTTGCATGCTTTCGAACCGCAAGGTTGGCGGGAACTGGGACAAGCGATGGGCACTCACTCCGTCACGTGGCTTCGATCTTATAGCTGAAGATCTACAGACCTTAGAGCACAGAGGCTTCTGCGGTTTACCTTGCAGCACCACCACGTCCTAGGTCAGGGTAGAGCGCTATATTTGTCATGGTAGCCACCTGGGACCAAACTGGTGGCCTGAAGAATGGCACACTGTGTGGACTCCTGCCTTAAGCCTGCCCCTCTTTGGCCATCAACTGACCCCCATTTTGACCTCTTCATGCAGAAAGAGGCATGGTGTCCTTTCCTTGAATCTGTGAGGCAAAGGATCTTGCTCTTTCCAAGGAGGATTAAGAGGGGCATTTCCCAAACCTTTTGCATTCCCAGCCTCTGACCTGAGATGCAGGGAACATTGTGGTCTCTTCCCACCCAGTTCAGGATCCCGCCCCTCCTCCGGACAAATGAACCTCAAATCACCGATAACTAAAAGATTCCTCTGCATCTGTAGTTTTCCTATGGAAAGGTGAGAGGCACGGGGGAGGGGGAGTAGCCAAATCTGGGGATCTCTTATGGGGTACTCTGGACAACTGGCAGGCTGAAACTAGACCACACAGAAGCTGGATTAGACTCACAAGCTCTAGGCTCACCTCCTGGGTTTTAGCTGGAGGTAATCAAGGGTCAGTTACATATACTTAACTGGTTTAGACCTCTGGCTGCAGGGCCACAGGCTGGGAATTCGATTCCCACCGTGCCTCTTGTGAGTAGAGCCAGCCTGTACAGCCTTGGGCAACTTGCGCAGACCGAGGGCACCTCCCAGAAGAAGGGAAGGGGAAACCACTTCTGTGCCTAGAAAACCCTACAAAGGGTTGCCATAAGCACAGGGTTATCTATATATACTCCTTGGAAGAGGAAGAGCCCATGATTCTAATCTGTCTCGCTAAGGATCTGGATTGAGCCAAATTCCTCTGATGCTCTGAGCCTTTCCATTTGGCATGAGTGGGAGTAGGCTGGCGGTGATGAATTATGCCATATACCGTATATGCCGGCGTACAAGATGACTTTTGGGCCCCCCAAAACATGCCTCCAAGTGGGGGGCCCGTCTTGTACGCCGGGTGCTAGGAAGGAGCCGCCACCGCCGAATGAGTGACGTGGGGCGAGCTGGCCAGGGAGGAAGGCAGGCGGGCGGGCAGGCAGTCGGTCGGGATGGAGGGATGGGAGCACAGCCTGCCATGCTCGCCTGCCGCCCCACGCCGCTGATCCAGCGGCGTGCGCGCTCACCACCACCCGCCCGGTTCCTTTTCCTCCTCCTCCCCCTGCCGCCGGGCAGGCAGGCAGTCCCCCGCACGCTCGCCGCCACCCGCCTGGTTTCTTTTCCTCCTCCCCCTGCCGCCGCCCCCCAGCCTCTTCCTCGCCCTCCTCTTTTTTGGGGGTTGTCTTGTACAGCCAGTCGTGTTATATGCCGGCATATACGGTATTCACGAAGGCTTTCACAGCTGGGATCTAATGGTTGTTCTGGGTTTTTCGGGCTCTTTGGCCGTGTTCTGAAGGTTGTTCTTCTTGACGAAGGAAGAACAACCTTCAGAACATGGCCAAAGAGCCTGAAAAACCCAGAACAACAATTATGTCATAGTTCTCTCCGATCTTGGAACAATTTCTAATCTTCATGTCACCTCTGGTAGAAAAGATTGGGGCAAACAGGCTTGACCAGCAAGTAACAAGGACTCTTTGCTACATTGGCATCTTGGTTCTGTAATAATCTCCTTCAATTTCTCAATTTTAATTGAAAAAAAAAACCTGCTTTAAAAATTGCTCGACCTGTTGACGAGTGTTTGTGTATGTGGTTATTGTCAGATTTCCAGACTTTTTCTTTTAAGAGCATTAAATGTTTAAAATGTAACATGAAAACATAAAGTACAAACAACATGCCTTCAGAATGTCTGAATAAGGAAAATTTCTACCCACAACCTGCTTTTAAGTCTGCAATACATTTTCTCAAGAGAAACTGCTCCTGCTTTTCCAAAACAGGAGTTGGTGATGCTGAGGGCAAACACTGAAACACACTAAGCAGGATTTGAGAAAGGGGTTAAGAAGGGCCTTCTGACCAAGAGTTACTCCCCTTCTTTTTATATCAAGAGTGGAGCAGAAGAGAAAACAGGTGCTTGAATATCCAGCAGGCCACTCCATTTTTGCCTTCAAGAAACAGGAGCCACAGACAAGAATCCTGATGTGAAGCAACACTGGACTCAAGAAGACAGAGAAGTATTCAATATTATTCTGTTCAATGAAAGTGCTTTGCCCATTTTGGCCATCACGAAGAAATCAGCACTATGCCTTCGACCCAGAATATCAAGGAACAAATCAACGACAACATAAGGATCCACCAGGTGAAGTTTTTACTCTAATCCAAGGTGTTGTTGAAAGCCCTTCCCCACTCTGAGCACTGAAAAGGATCGCTCGTGTGAATCTAGCTTTTAAAGTGTGCAGTCTGACTCTTTCCACACTCAAGAACATTTATACGGCTTCTCCTCAGCGTGAATTCTTTGATGGTTTTTAAGGTGTGCAATTTGGTTGAAACTCTTTCCACACTGCAAGCATTCATACGGCTTCTCCCCTGTGTGAATTCTCTGATGGTTTTTAAGATGAGCAGTTTGACTAAAGCTCTTTCCGCATACGGCGCATTTATATGGTTTCTCCCCCGTGTGAATCCGTCGATGGTTTTTAAGGTGTGCGCTTTGATTGAAACTCTTTCCACATTCTGGGCATTTGTACGGCTTCTCTCCTGTGTGAGTTCTCTGGTGGTTCTTTAGGTGTGCACTTTGATTGAAGCTCTTTCCGCACTCGGAGCACTGATACGGCCTCTCTCCTGTGTGAATTCTCTGATGATTTATTAGGTGTGCCGTTTGATTGAAGCTCTTGCCACACGCTGAGCAAGAACAGGGCACGGATGGGCTTCTCATCTGGGTCAGTATTTTCTGGCAATCTAAGACTGACGGTCCTTCCATGGTCAAAGCTCTTATAAATTTACCTTTTGTCAATCCTTTAATGTCTCAGGTCTCTATACCCTTTCTGTACACTGTGAATTCTGTGATGATTCCTCAGGTCGCCTTTTCCACATTCTGAACAGTTAGTTTCTCGCCATTCTTAATGTCCTTTTTGCTTCCTTCCTCCCTTCAAAAGCAACCCAAATGTCTGTTTTCCTTTTCTGGTGCTCCTTTTACTTTAGTACTTCCACACACATGGACTGAAAGAATCAAAGGAGAAATCTGATTAGGGTGGGACCAGAAAGAAACTGAATGACTTATTACTTTGCACAACAGATTGAAAAATAACTAGCAGAAAGGCAGAATGTTACTGTACAAATTTGTCACGAAGATTGTAACAACCAAGAGAAGTAAAAACTAGGTATTTATAGAGATTTTTTTCTGACCAAATGAACACTAGCATTAATACTTATTCTGTCCAAATGAAGGCGTGAAATATCTAGCAGTGTGAAATACAGTTAGCGTGTGATTTAAAGCAGTGGCCCCCAACCGTTTCTGAACCGCGGACCGGTTGGGGGGGATGGGGTCTGTGTGCGGGGAGGCACTCCGACGCTCACAGAGAGGTGGGGTGTGCTCGTGCACATGTGCGGAGGGGAGGGGAGCGCTCAGAGGGGCGAGGCACCCGTATGTGTGGCAGGCTATGTGTGAGGGGGCGGGTGGCAGGAGATCTGTTTCCACGGCCCTGTCCTGCCATGGCCACGGACTGCCACCAGGCCACGGACCGGGGGTTGGGAACCTCTGATTTAAAGGACAGAAAGGCCATAAAAGAACTCTGAAAAACAGAAATGTCTCACAAACGGACTTCCGTAGTGGAGGGGCCACAAGCGAAAAGGCCCTGCCTTTGCCATGCATACCAGGCTTCCTTATCTGAACACTGGGGTGGTAAAAAAAAAGGGGAGGGGCATCATCAACTACATCCTCAAAGCATGGAGAGGCTCATGCTGGTACAGGCATTCCCTCTAGCAAACAAGACCCCAAAATTGTTTAAGTCACTAAAGCTCATCACCTGGACTCTGAATGCCCAGACATTGGCCCTACCTCCAAATCCCTATAAGGATGCAGAAGAATCCTGGTGGGGCGGAGAGGGGTTTGTGTCCAAATTTGCCTCTTTTCAGAAGCACCCCTGAGATCCTAAAGAGCAGATTCCAGATTAGCTCCCATGACAACTTATCTGAGGGCCATAACAAATAACGTAAGTTATATATATAAATGCACATACATTACACAGTGGCGTAATTGGAAATAAAAATACTTCAAATGAAAAAGAGCACACAACTATAATGGATAATTTTAAAACTTAGCAGTGGCTTGTTATTGTTTTTCTCCCAATAATAACCATGTCCTGTCAGGCCAGTTCAGACTTATTGTGACCTTTTTCAGGGGGTCTGAGACAGAAAGTAATCAGAGATGGTTTCCCATTTCCCTTTTCTGGAGGCCCTCTGGGATCCTGCAGCTGATTCAAGGCCACACAGGCTGGCTCTTCTGGAGTACACAACGGGGATCAAACTCCTTCCTTCTACCTCTGCAGCCAGGTACCTAAATTCCCTTTCCCAAAATCCCACAGGCAGCATGATGATACCCGCTGGGGATTGACATCACAAACTCTCTCCCCCTCAAAGCATCTTTTCCCACCTCCTGCAAAAAAGAGTGTTTCATCTTCTCCAGCTTCCAGCATCAGAAAGGAGGAAAGATGCAGTTCAGCCCATCTCTCTCCCCCCCTCGCCTACCCCATGTCCTTTCCTCCCCATAGAGAGGTAAAATTTCCCCAAAGGTCCATGTTTTCTTGAAAAAAACAACAGCAAATGGAAATTTCCAGAAAGTTTACATCTCTAGAGAGAACCTAAATACATAAAAGTCTCAGAAGTCTATCATGAAAGTCTTCATATCCTATAGTTTGAATACCATGGCACAGACATATTATTCATCATCGTAAAAAACTGTAACATATTCCACACCCCATTTCGCCCCCCCCAATTTTCCGGGGGGGGGAATCAAAAACCGACCTGGGCTGGTTGAAATGGGAAAAAAGAGAAAACACCATGTTCCCTCCAATGTTTCCAATCGTCGTCCCCCCCCCAACCAGGCCTTCCCATCGCGACACACACACCCCGACCCGCCCCTGCTCCCACCCCTTCCCACCCCGGTGTTCCCACCCTCCTGGGCGTT